TACCAGAGCTCCTAAGGTGCTTAAAAAATAATGTGGATTCCCATGTAAGTGACTTTAGATCAGTGATGTTCTACTCTGTGCAAGAGTCCTGGGCTGATGAAGCTGGAATCCAGGTTAGCAGTGCCAAATGAACTACAAGATGCCCCATTAAATGTGAATATCTGAAGAACAACAAATAATTTTTTCTTTTGACATATTTATACTAAAAAACCATTTCTTGCTTATCTAAAATTCAAATTTAACTGGGCGTCTATATTTTTATTTGCCAAACCTGGCATCATTCCAGATGCTTTCTCTTGTTAGGGGTGTGTGTATGGTGGGGGGAGGGTTTCTTTGCCTTCTACTGACAAAGTATTGAGTAAAACTCAATGCCGTCGAGTCAGATCCAACTCGTAACGACCCTTCCTTGGGTTTCCGAGGTGATATCATTATTGAAGTAGATTGCCCAACCTTCCTTCCGAGGTATTGAATAGGAGAGGCAAAATGTCCACTTGAACATTTGAAGTTTATTAAAGAGAAAGGAGAGGGGAGGGGAGGGTTCACAAGGGAGAGATGGAGAGGGGCGCTAGCCTCCAGTCTCTCACTGAACAAAGGATTTCCTAGGGTTCATAAAGGATTTTGTGTGTGTGGGTGGCAATTTCCAAGAAAAAGGTGGGGTTATGGAAATCAAGTGTGCGTGCAGGAAGTAGCCAAGATGGCTTCCACTTCACAGGCTGTCAGAACAGAAATGGAACCCATTGTGAAAGCCGCTGGGATGCCTGACATGACTTATGCTGGGATGTTGCACATGTGTGATGTCTCTGGACCCTGGTTTGAGTCCTGGCAAGTGACTCCTGTTCTTGAGTGCCTCTGGTGGAAGGAAGATCACTTTGTCGGTCAAGTTGAATTTTACTGAGTATGTTCTGCACCTGGTGAAGTGCTTGAAGGACAATTTAGGAGGTTTGGGGAGCTCTGGCGGTGTAGTGCCTAAGGCATTTGACTGCTAACCAGCCACTCTTCTTCGGAAGGAAGGTGGGGCAATCTACTTCCCGTAGTGATAACGCCTCAGAAACCCAAGGAGGGGTCGCTATGAGTTGAAATCGACTCGACGGCAGTGAGTTTGGTTTTTGGTTCCCCCTTTTCTGCCTATGGAGTGAGTGCCCCTCTTAGCTGTAAAGAATCAGAAAAAGCGCCACCTCAAACTCTTCAGAAGAGTAAACGTTTAGGGGCAGAAAGCAAGGGTCTGGAGGTTAGTGACACACAGCAGGGTGTGAAAGAGCCCCCAGTCAGCCAGTCCAGTCCCACAGTGAAGACTTTCAAAACAGAGAGGATTAGCAGAAAGGTTGTTAGTACTGAATAAACCCTCAGGGGGCCTCTGGACCCTGGGCTTTCCAGCTCTGACTTCCTTGTCTCCCTCCCTTCCTTGGAATCATTCCATCTTTCCTCCATGAGGGTTGGTCACTGCTTGGGAGGTAGAGACTGGGTGCCTGCCAGGCCAAATAGGCCCTGGGGCAGCAGCATTGCCTTGAATGGAGCTTGGCTCAGGGGTGGGAGAAGGGGCATGTCCCTCTCCAACTTTCATGGGTGGGGGAAGGGAGCCCAGTTCCTCTGCTCTCTAAACCCTCCCTTCCATCTGGACAATTTCAGCTCCAGCAGAGCCCCTGCTTTGACCCCAAGGAATGATGTTCAGGCAGATTTATAATCTTGGAGTCTTAGTAAATGTGCCTGCTTATCTCTATGGTACAGTGGAAAGAGCACTAAATTAAGTGTCAGGGGGCCCGGGCTCACGGCTTAGCTCAGCCAGTTGCTCATTCTGTGACCCTGGGTCCTGGGTCTCAGTTATTCCCAAGTAGAACATAGTCATTGAATAAGGAGATGGCCCAACTTCTGTGACTTCATTCTGCCTGCTTTTTCTGGAAGGGCTTCCCCAGTGCAAAGAAACAGGTGGCCTGAACCTGCTATAGGCCAACAGGGCACCTGCCCTTCCCAGGGACAAGGGGGCTGTGGCCTGGGCCCCTCTGTCCACTGCCCTGGCCTCCTGACTTGACCATGTCTGTTATTCCCACCTGCTGTCCATGCTCCAAGGATTCTGATCCATTTATATAATTGAGGAAAGTAAGGCCCAAAAGGGAATACAACTCTTGCGTTCTCTAGGTCCATGGGTCCTGTTTCCAGGTTGGGACTTAGAGTCAGAATCTTGGCCACCTGAATTTGCAGGGCTCAGAAACAGCCCATGAGAGCTCTGGATACGGACCTCCTAAATGCCCATTCTGGGTATGTGACTGCTAACCAGGAGGTTGGTGGTTTAAACCCACCAGCCAGTCCTTGGAAGGAAAATTGGGCAATCTGCTTCCACAGTAATACTGTCTCGGAAACCCAAGGAGGGGTTGCTGGCAGATCCAACTTGACGGCAGTGAGTTTGGTGGATTTTGGGGGCGGGGGCAGTTTTGGGGCAAGCTGCAGCAGACCTAGACTCATTTGACCTGGGACCAGGTCGAGAGGCCAGAGTCTTAAGCTTCAGGGAGTAACTTCAGTTTTGAGCTAAGGGAGAGAAACTCTTCACTGAGCGGAGATGGAAAAATTCCTCTCGGTCAGTGACAAAACACACCCTTTGTTCTTATTTGTTTTTACCTCAGAGTTTTCCAGAGTCCCTGAGGAAGCAAGGGGAGGGGGAGGGGTCAGAGAAAGACCTGGAATAAATGGGTCTTGTGGTCTATGATCAAGCACCCGCCTGAGGCCCTGGAAAGGGCAGGGTGAAGCCTCCCGAGGTGGCAGGAGGGCTAGAGGGGTGGCAGGAAGGAGAAAGGAGGGTGGAGGGAAGGAAGAAGGAGGGGGAGGGGAGAGTTGGCACTGCATTGGCCTTGAGACCCCACCTCTCCCTGCCCTGACAAGGGAGGTGGGGCTGGGATTTGCTGCCCACATGAGGCACAGAACTTTTCTCAGGGAAGGGAACAGGACCCAGACTGGGGGTTCAGACTTAGACTCCTTCAGGCTGGGGGTTCTTCCTGGGGGGCTGCATCTCCTCCATCAGGCTAAGGTCTCTCGATGGAAGCCATTGGACTGAGGGCTCTCCAGGGCTGAGGTAGGGCAGTGTCTCTGCAGTCAGACTGGCGTTCCCCAGGTCAAGGACGCTGTCTTCCCCAGCAGATCAGGGGCTCCCCCAGGGAGAGTCTGTTTCCCCCATCATCACACGGAGGGCTCTGCAGGGAGCAGACCCAGGTGTAACTGACACTGCCTCTCTGGGTGGCAGGCAGCAAGTGGTACAAGCAGCACCTCTCCTACCGCCTGGTGAACTGGCCTGAGCACCTGCCTGAGCCTGCAGTTCGGGGGGCTGTGCGTGCCGCCTTCCAGCTGTGGAGCAATGTCTCGGCGCTAGAATTCTGGGAGGCCCCGGCAACAGGCCCCGCTGACATCCGCCTCACCTTCTTCCAAGGGGACCACAATGACGGGCTGAGCAACGCCTTTGATGGCCCAGGTGCTGAGCATCTATCCCCACAGTCTTTTCTCTCCCACACCCAGGCCTGAGCTTCCAATGACAGGAGGGAAACCCAATTAGAAGAGGCAGACCAGGGTATCATTCAGTCTCTCTGTGGCCAGGGGCAAGCCGCTTCCCCCTCTAAAGGATCCTCAGTCTCTTCATCTGTAAAATGGGAACAGTGGTACCTGCAAAAACATGTACTACATAGTTGAAGGGAAGGTCAGAGGAGGTCCTATATGGAAAGTGCTTCGCAAACTCTAAAAAGTATTATGTGTTCTGGAAGAAACTTCTGAGGTCTTGTCATCCATCCTCTATCTCTAGAAAGGCCTGTGCCTCTCTTGTTCTATAGGAATGGATGTTCTCCAGACCCGGACCCTCAAAAAATATCCAGAGGCAACCACTGTCCCACTCCTGTCCCCCAATACTGCCACAATACAAGAGAGGTTTGACCTAATGTGTGCCGTGCATGGACAGTTCTCTTTGACTGACCTGAAGGATTCTGGCTGCAATTTAAATGGTTCTCCTACTATTCTGCACAGCATCAGTCTTTAGAACCTGAACACAGGCCCTCTGCTAATCACCTCCCTCCAAATGTGGAATGAAACCTGATCTGTCCCCTTCAGGGAGGAGACTTAAACACTTGTGGACCCTGGGAAGTTGCCTTTCCCCTCTCTGACCTTTGAACTATCCTGTTTTCCACCAGACCCACCCACAGCAAAGCCCACTTCCAGGCCTGGCTGCTGGGAGCCTGGTTAGGGCTAGGGAACATCTAGGCTTTGTGGAATCCACATGTAGCACACACCTGTGCTTGCATATAACTCAGTTCATCCACGACACCCACATGAAGATGTTTCCATTCTCACTCAGGCCAAGTAAGTCAGGTAGCCAAGACAGCACAGGCCACCAGTCCCCCTGAGCAGCTCTGTGATGTGGGACACATGCTTTGTCTTCCTGAGTTTTGCTCTTTTCTTCTCTGAAACCTGCCCATCCACCTCCCAAAGTTACTGTAGAAGCGGAATGGAATGGAGCTAACAGTGCTCAAAACCGGTTGAGGCACATTCAAAATAGGAGGTATAAAGTCCTTGCTGACTCTCCATGCCCCCCTATGAGACTGTCCTTTAATGCCTGCCTCTCAACATTTGCCAGGTCCCAGTTGGCCTGGGCTCTGAGAGGCAGCTTTAAAGGACTCTCAATAGGTCTCTAGGGTCAACATTATCACAGTGCAGTCTGCAGCAGGGTCACCTGCCCTTTCGGAGAGCAAACTACAGGGGGTGGAAAAGGCTCACAGAGGAGCCTTGGTAGAGGCAGGACAAGAACAAAAGAATATGTAAACTCCTTAGTAAAGAAATATACACAGAAAGTGCACAAATCATAAAGTTACAGCTTGATGACTTCCCCATTAACATACACTCATTGCCACCTAACGTTCCTGTCTGATCTTTTGACTTGCTATTGTCAATTGGATCCCACATAAATAGGTCTTAAAAGAGCCCAGGGCTCAAGGCCTTTACTGTTGTTGTATGTGCCGTCAAGTCAGACCCGACTCATAGTAGTGACCCCTCCTTGGGTTTCCAAGGCAGTATCACTATGGAAGTAGATTGCCCCATCTTCCTTCTGAGGAGCGGCTGGTGGGTTTGAACTGCCAGCCTTCTGGTTAGCAGTCAAGTGCCTTAGGCACTATGCTACCAGAGCTCCCTCAAGGCCTTTACTGTTGTTGTTGTTGTTATGTGCCGTCCAGTCGGCCTCGACTCATAGTGACCCCTCCTTGGGTTTCCCAGGCAGTATCACTATGGAAGTAGGATTGCCCAACCTTCCTTCCGAGCAAGGCCTTTACTAGTTAAGCTAAACTATTGTTTGGTTTTAAGAAGACTCTAGGGGATATTTTTTGTTTAAGGTTTAAAGATTATTTCAGGGCAATAGTTTCAGGGCTTCATTTTAGAGCAAGTTTAGGTCTCCTAGATCTCTTTGAAAATAATTCTTTCACTTATTATGTGCTAAGCACTGTTCTAAGTATTATGTTCAGCGTACACACATTTGCTCCTCAAGTCAGCAATCCTCAGAACAAAAGAGAGAAGCTCATTGTCATTCTGATTTTCAGATCAGGAAGCAGAGACACAGAGAAGTTAAGCAACTTGCCCAAGGTCACACAGCTATTAAATGGTAAAATTAGAATTTGAACCCTGGCAATCCAGCCTCACACTATCTCTACATCCTACTGTCTCTTAAGTCTCCACACCCCAAAGTCTAGTCATCTGTCCACTGCCTCACATTCCAACTTCTGCCAGACTTAATTGGGAGGGAAATCATGTATCGGAAAACAGCCACACATACCCCAAAGGCATCTGTGCTGGGCTTTGGGAACTTCGGGGCGGCTCAGGCCGCTCGCTCCTCCTAACTCACCGCGCCACCTATAGGGGGCGCCTTGGCACACGCCTTCCTGCCTCGTCGAGGCGAAGCGCACTTTGACATAGAGGAACGCTGGTCCCTGAGCCGCCGCCGCGGGCGCAATCTGTTTGTGGTGCTGGCGCACGAGATCGGCCACACGCTCGGCCTGCCCCACTCACCCGCGCCACGCGCACTCATGGCGCCCTACTACAAGAGACTGGGCCGCGACGCGCTGCTCAACTGGGACGACGTGCTGGCCGTGCAGAACCTGTATGGTGAGCCCCTAGCCATGTCGCGATAGCGGCCCAACCCTGACTTCTGCAGCTCCGGTACTTGGACACTGGTTGCTCAACTCAGATACCCCATCCTAAGCGTAGGGTTCTGGCCTTTCCCATCCCTGCCTTCCTCAGTCCTGAGGTCCCTGGCTGCTCATATCTGAAAACCCATCCTCAGGCTCATGCTCTCCCAGAACCTGGCCCTCTTCCCATCGGTTCCATCCATTGCTGCATTGTCCTCCCTCGCATGGACACCTGCCCAACCCAGTCCCCCACAGCTCCTCTAACATCCCTGGCCCGTCATCCAGACCTAATCCTCGATCCCATATCTTGACCCATACCAGACCCCAAAGCCCACATTTCTGTCCCCAGACCTACTTGCTGTCCCCTACATCCCTCTACCCAACCCCAGCGTCCCCATGGTGTTTATATCCACTACCTCCAACTATAAGGTTGCATCTCAGCCTGGCTGTGCATTCAGATGAAGGCTTCCCTCCCAGAGCAGGCAGAGCTGACTGAATTGGCCAGTGCTTCTGCCCCAGGGACTTACAGGGGCCCCAGGCCTGCCCCAGACCAGGGCTGTCACCTACAAAGCGGGTGGTGTGGTGTGGTGGACACAGCCAGGAAGCCTTGGTTCAAGTCACCACTATGGATTAACCTCTGGGCACAGCTGAGTGCTCTAAGCTTTGCCTTCTGTGAAAAGGGGTAGTAATTAAGCCCTGCTTACCTCACAGGGCTGTTAGGCTAGCAAGTGCCAACATGCTTTGTAGCCTGAGAAACCTGCACAAATGTGATAGTAGGAACTGCTATTTCATGATTATCTACCATGGGCCAGGCATTTAACATACAAAAAGTATCTTTTTGTCCACAGATGGGGAGAATGGGACTCAGAGAGGTTAGGTAACTTGCCTAAAGTCACACAGCTAGGAAGTTGAAGATTGGATTCAGGAGTTGTTGCCAAATTCTAAATGCATTGGACTCTCCCTCACTCCTCTCATAAGGGAAGGATAATAGTGATAATCATTATAACTGCCTGTAGTTATCACAGCCTGGGCCCCTGAATGCAGCCCTCATGCCACCATGTTTCCCAGGACACAGGACCCGCTGTTCTTAGTCACAAACACTTACTTTGCACCCACCCCAATTTTATCTCAATAGGTCCCTCTTTCCAGGATATCTCAGACTCTTGGTTCCGGTGCTATGGTTAACACCAACACCCAGGGACAACTCGGCCCTCCACCCCCACTCTCCTTCCCTGTCCCTCATATTAGATAATAACAAAAGAAACCAAGTCATGAACCCTCAGCATAGCACCCCTCGGTGTATGTTCTCTCCCTCCTCATGAAGGGAAGCCCTTGGGGCGCTCAGTGGCTATCCAGCTCCCAGGAAAGCTGTTCACTGACTTTGAGGCTTGGGATCTTCACAGTCCCCGGGACAGGCGCCCTGAAACCCGAGGTCCTAAATACTGCCACTCTTCCTTCGACGCCATCACTGTAGGTAAGTTGGCCCCACTGTGCTGTTCCTTGCCTCTTTCTTCCCTCCACCTCCATATCTCCATGCTTCTTCATGAGTTATAAAATTCATAAATGCCAGGTCAGAAGCATACCTCCAGGGAGCAAGCTGACACCAGACAAAACACAGTTTTTTCCTGTCCACACTGCCCTCAGCTCCAACTGTGCCTGCTACATCCTCTGCTGGTCAGTTTGGGAAGCTAAGTTTACGGAAGTGCCTTGCCTGGAAAGAAGACAGGAGGCTGATGGTCATGGCTCTCTTCTTTCATGTCTCCGGACAGATGGGCAGCAGCGGCTGTACATTTTTAAAGGGAGCCACTTCTGGGAGGTGGCAGCTGATGGCAATGTCTCAGAGCCCCGACCATTGCAGGAACAGTGGCCCGGGCTGCCCTCCCACATTGAGGCTGTCACGGTGTCCTTGGAGAATGGAGACTTCTACTTCTTCAAAGGTACCAGCCCTGGGCCAGATGAGAAATTTGAAGCCTAGAGAAGGGAGGTGTCTTACCCAACCAAGGCCAAGACGACAAAACAGGGATGAGTCTCACACATTCAGGTCTGTGGTGGAGTCTCTTCCAGTTTGAACCTGTGATCCCAGGGAAGACTTCACCAGGGCACTCATTTCTGTGATGGAGTGGGGCTGGGCAGGTGTCAGCCCTGCAGCAGAGGCAGAGGGAGGGAAGTTTCAGACAAGAGTCTAGAGGGATGTAGAGGACCACTCCCTGAGCTCTGCAATTCAGCAGAAAGAGTTGTACCTTCTGTGGTTTCCTGGCTGCATGAGGCTGGATATGTCCGTCAACTTTATGAGCTTGAATTTCTTGAACGGGGAAAGTAATACGTCAGGTTTGTTGGAAGGATTAGAGCATAGCATTTGAAGAGTGTGCAGTTTATCACTAGATACCTGGTAATGGTTCAGTAAGCATTCATTCATTCATTCAACAAAGACTGAGCGCCTTCTATGCACTGGACACGGAGGTGTTGGAGACAGCAGTGAACAAAACAAAAATCTCTGTCCTCATGGAGCTAGTGGTTACTACTTGGCAGTGAAGAAAGCTCCTGACATCCCTTGTTTTCCAGTCCCTCCTGGGGAAGCGGGTCTTGCTTCCTGTATGTGGTAAATGGGTTCATTCAATGCTATCTGCCCTCTTCCAGCACCTACTAAAATGCGAGACAATGGTAGTCCTCGTCCCTCCCGTCCTGTATGTAACTAATGATTGTTGTTGTTGTTGTTATGTGCCATCGAGTCGGCACCTACTCATAGGGACCCCTCCTTGGGTTTCCGAGGCAGTATCACTACGGAAGTAGGATTGCCCAACCTTCCTTCCGAGGAGTGGCTGGTGGGTTTGAACCGCCAGCCTTCAACTAATGATTAGTGTAATTCGTTATGACTATCACGAGTACTAACGACCCAGGACTGCAACATGGGGGGAGGGGAGGGGAGCGGATCAGAAATGGTGGAGTGGAGGAATAAAAGTCGAGAGCCTCCAGCTCATCCTGGCTCCCCAATCCCCAATGTCCCACAGGGAGTCGATGCTGGAGGTTCCGGAGCTCCAAACCAGTGTGGAACTCCCCGCTGCTGTGCCGGGCAGGGGGCCTACCCCGCCACCCCGACGCCGCCCTGTTCTTCCCTCCGATGCACCGCCTCGTGCTCTTCAAGGGTGCCCGCTACTACGTGCTGGCCAGAGGGGGACTTCAAGTGGAGCCGTACTATCCCCGTGACCTGCAAGACTGGGGAGGTGTCCCTGAGGAGGTCAACGGCGCCCTCCCGCGGCCAGATGGCTCAGTCATCTTCTTCCGAGATGACCGCTACTGGCGGCTGGACCAGGCCAAACTGCGGGCGACTAAGTCAGGCCGCTGGGCCGCTGAGTTGCCCTGGATGGGATGCTGGCACGCTAACTCCGGGGGCACCCTGTTCTGAAGGCCCCACCACTTACTAAAACGTTGGCACCCTCACAGCCAACTCCATTCCTCTGCCCCAGGGGCGGGACCTGTCTTGAAAGCCTTAGAGAATCCCAGTGGACTACTGGGCAAGAGAGCCTCTACCAAGAATCTTGTCTGCGTTTGTCCTGGAGAACGTGTGTCCTTCCTGACAAGTGGAGGTGGAGGTGGGGTCGATCCAAGTGTCCCTGATTCCACCGCCTTTTCCCCAAGGATCTCTTTCCACTCAAGCCTTGGAAATTTTGTTTCTTCTGGTAAAACTGCAGATCCCACACACAAGGGCGCAGCACCGGGATCCACCCACGGAGTGTGCAAGGCTACAGAGGTTGGGAACGCTGTTCCAAAACTATCCCGCGACCCTCAGGCCCTCATGTCTTAGTTCTTGGAGAACTGTGTCTAATTTAAATCAGAGACACCACCTTAAGGAAGTTTGGATGGGGTGGGGGTATGGGGTCTTCAATCTTAGAGGCCCTGAAGGGGTCAGGACCCTCAGCAGGAAGGAGACTGATGCAGGCCTGCTGGCCTGTGGCTTTTTGTGAGGTTATGAAATAAAGAGGATCCCCCAGCTGGTAGGCTGGAGGCAGAACCATTCTTCATCCTTTCCAATGAAAGCAGGTGGGCGGGGATGCTGGGGAGGTTGGGACAATGAGCCTGCTGAAGCCAGAGGGGCTGTGTGTGTGTGTGTGTGTGTGCTCACGCACAATTAAGACAGATAGGAGGAGGCTTGCCTCACCTCAAGAAGCAAAACATCTTGCCCCGCTCCCAGGCCAGATGGAGAACCATAAATAGTAAAGCAGCAGGGGGAGGGAGCTCCTTCCAGGTCTGCAGGCCCTGGGGATGTAGCCTCCACTTTGACTCAAGGAAGAGAGGCTCTGCTGGCTCCAGGGAGGCCTCGTCCTCACAATGGCCTAATTCTGCAGGCCACACATGGAGCATTCCCAAAGCTCCTACCAGCTGGTCAAGAATAGCTGGAATTCCTGGAGAAGGAACAGCTCCCCAGCCCTCCTCCTGCCTTAGCCAGTCTGGTTTCAGCTCCGAGTCTCTGGTCCTCTATGCTCAGCCCTTCCTCTCAGCACCTGCCAATGCCTTATTTGTACACATTAGCCTTAGCAAGACTGGAATGATCCGGCCACAGGTTCAAATCCCAACTTCCCACGGGCATTCCTGGCTATGGACCTTCACTTTCTTCTCCGTGCAGAGGGGAGAATGGCCTTTGCCTTTGGATGCAGCCTTTGCATGCTTTGCACAGCTCTGTGCAGGGAGAAGCGGCAGTGGCTCTCTGCCTCCCTCTTCCCTCTGGCCCAAATCCCAGAGGGTGAGGAGGGTTAATTCTCATCACCCAACACACACCAAGAGTCAGCTCATCCACATCTCAAGGTGCTGACATTTTGATCAGAGGCTTTATTGAAGGACTTGAGGGGAAGGGGCAGATTTTTCAAAGGGGTGAGGGCAGGGAAGTTTCTCTAGACCATGCCTCTGCACAGGGCCCAAAAGGACTTGAAATACTCAAGAGATGAATGTGAGGGTGTCTGGGACCCAGTCAAGTGGTGGTAGGCACTGTGCTTCCCCAGTAGCGAAGCCTTCAGAAACTGCTAACAGAGAATGGAGCTCCAGGTTCTGTTGGGCTTCTCATTGGGTGGGAACACGCATCAGGAGTGGGCTTCTTGACTGAGAGACGGCGTCTCTGAGAAAGGGCAGTTCTGTGGAATGTGCTAGAGAGAGTTCTGTATGGGGTGAGAAGGTTGTGGGCAAGGATGGAGAACACACAGACGGGGACGGGGGCGGGGCGCTCAGGAGCCCCAAGCGGCCCCCGCCGCTCCTGAAGCCCTGCCTTCGGCCAGGTCCCGGTGTTCCAGAATGCAGTGCGCCACGTAGGCCGGGTGGCTATGCAGGTTTCTACATCTCTTGCAGAAAAGAATCTCGCAGCGAGCACAGCCTCCGCCACGCGGCCGCTGCCGCGGCTTTTCCAACACGCACGGCTCCTCTGGGAGGCTTCGCTTTCTGCAAGCGGGGGACCGGGTCGCTCAGTGCACAGTCCTGTCCCCTCCACTCTGCCCGGCCCCTAGTCCTCTGCCGGGGCAGGACGATCTGCGGGGCCAGGGGAGTGCACTCACCTGTCGGCAGCGGGAGCCGCCAATCCGCTGAGCAACGCGAAGGGGCTGAACCAGGCCCAGAGGCCGCTGTCCGCGCGCCGCAGCAGGGCCACCTGCTGGGTACTGGACTCCTGGCGCAGCGGGCAGTAGGACACTGAGCCCCGGTCGCGGTCCTCGCCCTCCGCTACCACCGGGAACTCCTCCTTGCCCTCGGCCGGGCTCTCAGACAGCTGCCTCTCCTCGTCTTCCCCCTCTGACCTCTCCTCCTCCTCTTTTCCCTCCGCCTTGCTGGCTTGGGGCTCCTCCAGCTCCTTCTTCCACAGGGGGGTCTTCACGCCTGAGGGTGGGGAGGTCGATGCAGTCCCCTGCCCCGAGTGAAGGGCCAGGGCACCCTGATGTTGCCCACAATCTATCCCCACAAATGGCAGGTGCACCAGGTCCGCAGAGCAGGGATTTCTGGGCCGAGAGAGGGCCGGCCTGCCTGCTCCCAATTTCCCAGCCTCCTACACTTCCTAGCTAAGAATCCTGGACCAGTCATATTACTTCTGTCAAGCTTCATTTCCTCATCTGTAAATTGGGAGAAAGTAGTGTTATCTCAGGAGCTCTGGTGGCATAGTGCCTAAGGCATCTGACTAACCAGAAGGCTGGCAGTTCAAACCCACCAGCCACTCTTGGGAAGGAAGGTTGGGCAATCTACTTCCCTAGTGATACTGCCCCGCAAACCCAAGGTAGGGTCACTATGAGTCGGATTCCTTTAGTGTTATCTCAAGGGCTGTTGTGAAGTTGATACAAGATCATCATCTCTGTTTACAAGACAAAAACAAAATCCACTGCCATTAAGTCAATTCCGACTCATGGTGACCACCACTGGGTTTCCAAGGTGGATTGTCTCACCTTTCATGAAGTGGCTGGTGGGTTTCAAGGGCCAACTTTCTGGTTCACAATCAGAGGCCTAAGGCCCGAGAAGCAATCAACAAAAGGCAGGAAATGTGATGGGGAGGACTGCAAATGGAAAGGAAACGACATTTCGACATTTCGTCTGATTGACTTTAGGGTGGGTACCTGATATCCTGCAGCCTCTCAACAAATATTAATTGCACTAACTGTAATTTTAATTGGTAGTTTAGACATTGTTTTCTAACCGGACTTTCCTTTCTCAAAGTGGACCATGTGTTAAGGAAGCCCCTGGTGGAACAAGCAGGCAGCTGAGATCCAGTGCCTCTGTACAGTGAGAAGGGCTCCCCCTAGGGGTTGACCAATTGGGAAAGGTGCTCCTTGTGGGCAGACTAGTAGGGAAAAGGCTTCCCTGAGCTGGGGCAAACCTATTAGAAAAAGGTGCCTCCTCCTCCAGGCTTGATGCCTATTGCCAGCTGGATTTCAGCACCACTGTCCTCCCTTATGAGGAGCACTTGTGGCACAGTGGTGAAGCACTGGGCTGCTAACTGAAAGATTGGTGGTTTGAACACACCAGAAGCTCTGGGGGAGAAAGATAAGGCAGTCTGATTCTGTAAGGATTACAGCCTTGGAAACCCTATGGGGGCAGTTCCACTCTGTCCTGTAGGGTTACTGTGAGTTGGATTGGATAGTAGGTTTGGTTTTGGTTTCCCCTTATTCAATGCCTTTGTTCAGTGCATGGATGCCACAGCACAGGCAGGAGTTGGTATGCTGCCATGGAAACCAACCTGGCATCTGTATCAAGGCATCTAATTCACTCATTCTGCAAACTTTCACCCAACAATGGCTTGTGCTCTACTGTCTGAGCTGGGAGCTAGATTTGTAATAAAAACAAGGGCAACAGATGGCAGGAAAGACACAACTTCAGAGGTTCGTCCTGTAAAGGTCAAGAAAAATTTCTATTGATCTCTGGTCTACTGATCTCAGGGCTGGGCTAACAGAAGGAATAATAAACATTAGAGTGCTAACTCATATGTACCAAGCACCAAGTGCGTACAGTTAATATGCTAAACTCTGCTCATACATTGTACCCCTTGATCTTCACAATCTTCTTAGGTTAAGGAGGCAGGTAATACAGAGGGTCATGAATTTGACCTGAGACTTTTGAGACCTATAAAGGTGTTTCAAAGACTCTGCCAGTTCTTGGTGTTGCTAAAAGTAGAGAATCAGGGTCCACTGAACTTTTAAATTAGGAAAACACATTAAGGAACTTTCTGGTTGTGAAATGCCAGGCCTAGAGCACAGTCAGAAATAGGTGCTGGGAACAATTTAGAGAGGAAGGAAGTTAGGAAATGGGTGAAGGTAAGGTTGGACCTCACTGTGAAGGACTTTGGGTGCCGGACTATGGCATCTGGACTTTGTCCTCAGCACTGAACGTTTTCATGGAGGGCCATGCACACAGATGTGTTTTAGGATTTTTCCTGACAGTGCAGAGGAAGACTCATTTAGAAGTCATTACAGTGTTTCAGTCTACAGAAGACTAAGGCCTGAACAGGAGCAGGAGGGGAAGAGGAAGCAAGCATTATGATTCTTCAGGAAGGAGAGGGCTTAGATAGCTACATGGATAGGTGATTGAGAAAAGGATGGACTTCTACTCTAAGAGTCAAGAGAACTGGCCTTGGCCCCTCCTTGCCTCTAGCACCACTCACTGTGCTTATCCATTCTTCACAAAGCTGTGCTGCTCTCTTCCTCTGAACAGGGACTGGAATGTTAGGGGGTCCTCAGGACTCACAGAACTTGGTCTGGTCTCTAGGGTCTCTATTGGATCACAAGGGGAGGGGCTAGAACCTCACCTGCCTCAGGGCTCCACTCAAGAATAGCTGCCTTTTCTGGGGCCTCCAGAAGCACTCAAAACCTAGTGTCTTTGGGTTCCCCACTTTCCTTCCTGGAAAGACACTAAAAGGGAATACAAGGTGGCTTTATCCTCAGATACAATAGACTCAAATCTCAGGTCTCTCACTTTAGCATGTTATTTCTCCAACCTTTAGTCTCTTCATCTGGAAGTCAGAGATAGCAGTATAGTACATATTCTGGTTACCTAGTACTGCTCTAACAGAAATACCACAAATGGGATGGCCTTAACAATCAGGAGTTTATTTTCTCATGGTCTGGAGGCCCAAGTCTAAGTTCAAAGTGCCAGGCTCTAGGGGCTGTGTGAAAGCCCCTTGACCTTGGGCTTCAGCTCTGCCTCTTGCTCCCAGTCCACTGAAGTTAGAGGCATCTCTTCACTCAGGCAGCTACTGGCTGCTGAGACTGACAAGCCCAAGGTTGACAAGTAAAATGGCACAGTCCCAAATCACCAAACCCTACGGCAGGCCATTAATTCAAGTCCATTGTAAGTCCCAAGGTTGGCAGAGCATGGCAGGCTGCTGACCAATGACATGACTACATTCAGGGTCCAAGGGTGCCATAAGCTAGACACCATTCCCCAAGGCTTCTCCTTATATACAGGAAGCAGACCACATCCCTAGGGCAGCTACTCAGCTGCTCACAGTAGATCCCACCATGGAGTTGATTACCAGTCTCATCATGGGGAATACTACATCCAGCTGCCCAGCCACTCAACCAGGCCCAGCCAAGTTGACACACAAACTTAACTTACACAGTAAAGTAGTCCCTCTTCATCCATGGTTTCACTTCCTAGTTTCAATTACCCATGGTCCGAAAATATTAAGTGGAAAATTAAAGAAATAATTCTAAAGTTTTAAATTGTGCACCATTCTGAGTAGTGCAATGAAATCTTGTTCCTGCTCCACCACACTCAGGACATGAATCATCCCTTTGTCCAGTGTATCCGAGCTGTATAAATTACCCCACCCATTAGTCACTTAGCAGCATCTGGGTTATCAGATCAACTGTCAGGGTATAGGAATGCTTGTGTTCAATAACCCTTATTTACTTGTTCTATCTTCTTACTGGGAGCTCTGGTAGCATAGTGGCTAAGACACTTGCCTGCTAACCAGACGGCTGGCGGTTCAAACCCACCAGCCCCTCCTCGGAAGGAAGGTTGGGCAATCCTACTTCCATAGTGATACTGCCTCAGAAACCCAAGGAGGGGTCGCTATGAGTCGGGGCCGACTCGGCACACAACAACAACAACAACAACTTCTTCTTACTGTTATTAATAAATCTCTTAGTGTGCCTAATTTCTAAGTCAGATTTTATCATAAGTATGTATATATAGGAAAAAACAGTTATGTATAGAATTTGGTACTATGCTGTTTCAGGCATCCACTAGGGGTCTTGGAATGTATCCCCCACAGGTAAGGAGGGGATTACTGTACAGGGCTTTACCTGGCACACAAATAGCACTCAAAACACTGTGTTTATTGGGTCATTTTCTCTCCTTCTCTTTCTGTCCTATCCGTATCCATCCTCACCTCTGCTCCCCACACCTCCTACTTCCAGCTCATATATCCAGGGGATATAAAGGAATGGGGACAAGTCAAGTAAAATGCAGGGCTTGGGCAAGAACCAAGTGCCTGGATGTTGCAAGTGTGTAAGTGAGCTGGGTGTGGGGGAAAGAATAAAGAATGAAATAATGATGCCTTTACTTTCCAGGCCTCAGAGTGGGGTGTGTTGGCAGAGTGTGCACAGGGGCAGAGTCCTCAGTCTGCCAGCTAACCCTATGTAAACACCTCCATGACAACATCTACACTGTTTGACCAAATGAGTACTACAGCCTAGTCAAGTTGACCCAGAATTAACCATCACAGGCCACTCCTTGTCAACTTGGCTCCCATACACATCTCCTTAAACCACACTTAATCTCCAAATAAAGATAACAACGGTCATACTTCTGCTAAGATGATACAACTGTCCTGCATACAACCAAAAGGAGGAGGATGCAAAGTCCTTGGCTGATGTCTATTCTTCTCCTTGATATCCCATGACTTAAATACTAAGATGTGAGGATAATACACCTTGTATTATATGATAATTAAGGCGATAAGAGAAGTAAAGATATTTGAGATACCTGAAATATCTGATACCTGATACACACAAACTCACATACACATTCATAATAAAATAAGGAAGAAATACTATTGCAGTCCTCATTTCTGCAGCTGGTCACATAGTCATAACTGGTATTTAAAATGACCTCTTCCACTCCCCATTGCTCATTCTCTTTGTCCTCAACAAGCACCTCAGCTGGTGGTTCTTGGCCTAGTGGGGTGACCCAAAACTTCATTCTGTCAGTTGTCCTGCCTGAAGCGGGTTGCAGTTTCCATTGACTTTCACCACAAGTTATGGTAGTACTAAGAGATGCCTGGGAGCTCTGGTGGTGTAGTGCCTAAGGCATTTGACTGCTAACCAGAAGGCTGGCCATTCAAACCCACCAGCCACTCCTTGGAAGGAAGGTTGGGAATTCTACTTCTGTAGTGATACCACCTCGGAAACCCCAGGAGGGTCATTATAGCAGAGTGAGTGTGTGTGTGTGTGTGTGTGTGTGTGTGTGTGTTTAAGAGATGCCCTAAGGGATTTCCTGTATTCCAAACATATTCTTCATCGGGTCAATTTCTCCAAGGCAATCAGGATCAATCACTCCAAGCAGCAGTTAACGCCCTCTTCTGTCTGTTGATTCAGAGCCTAAAGCAGCCAGGTGGCAGTCTTAACTTCCAGTTCAATGAAATCTTCTAGTGAAAGCACTCCTCCCTTTGGAACTAAAACCTCTAGACCAGCACTGCACAGAGTCACAGAGAAAGGAAGTAAAAATGTTGCTAGTGGATCACTAGAGAAAATGGTGAGTGGCGTGTGGTGATTATGTTTGTGTGTCAACTTGGCTGGGCCTGGTTGAATGGCTGGGCAGCTGGTGGTAGTTATTCCCCATGATGAGACTCCATGGTGGGATCTACCACAAGCAACTAAGTAGCTGCTTTGGGTATGTGGTCTGCTTCCTGTATACAAGCAGCAGCTTTGAGAATGGTCTCTAGCTTATGGCATGCTTGGACCCTGCATGTAGCCATGTCATTGTTCAGCAACCTGCCATGCTCTGCCAACCTTGGGACTTAAAATGAACTTGAATTAATGGCCTGACATGTGTTTTGGTAACATCAGGACTGTGCCTTTTTACTTGTCAACCCTGGGCTTCTCAGCCTCACCAGCCAGTAGCTGTCTGAGTGAAGAAATGCCTCGAGCTCCAGTGGGCCAGGAGCAGGAGGCAGAGGTGGACCCCAAGGTTGAGGGGCTTTCACCCAGTCCCTAGAGCCTGGCACTTTGAGCTTGGATTTAAAGCCTCCAAACTGTAAGAGAGTAAACTCCTGTTTGTTAAGGCCAACACATTTGTGGTATATTTCCTGTCAGAGCAGTACTAGGTAACGAGATCATGGTGGCATTCCCATTTCTACCCCTTGATTCCTAGACCCATGAATCCTGGCTATGGGAGAAACAGCACCACATATTGCATGCTGATTTAGAGCATATACAGCCTCTTGGAGAAACTGTCCCCCATCCTACAAGGTACTACTGTTACCTACCTGATGCCATAACTGAATCTTCAAAAGGTGAATCCGCTGTTGTATCAAGCTGCTTCAGGATGATGGGACACATAGCTGCACTTCATTTGCGGTGAAGTGAGTTCCTTGGTCAGAAGCAATGCTGTGTGGATGATGATGGTGGATAAGGCAGTCTGTATGTCCACAGACGATAAGTTCAAAGATAAGGCGTTCTGTAAGTTCACTTTTGATAGAAGCATTATATGAAGGGAAGACATATGCATATTCAGTGTCTGTTCCACTAAGAACAAAACACTGCTCTTCACATGATGTAAGTGGTCCAATATCATCAACGTGTCACCAGGTTGCTGGCTAATCACCCTGGGAAATGGTTCCATATTAGGGCCTCAAGTGTTGGTCTCTGTTGCTGGCAGGTTAGGTACTCAGAAGTGGCAAGGCTGGCCTTGGTAAGTGGCAGTCTGTGTTGCTGAGCCCATATATAACCTCCATTCCTGCCATGATGGATGGCCACTTGCCCGTGAGCTCACTGGGCAATGGCAGGACTGGCTGGAAAAGGGCTGACTAGTAACCACAGAAAGTATCATCCTATCCACTTGATTATTAAAATCTTCCTCTGCTGAGGTCACCCTTTGGCAAGCATTCACACAGGACACACATACCTTCACTTTTTGTCCATTCAAAGAGGTCAACCACATACCTCTTCCCCATACCTCCTTCTTACCAATTTTCCAATTGCATTTCTTCCAAGTCCTTCATCATCTAAACCACTGGCCACAGCCCATGAATTTGTATTCAATTGCACATATGGCCATTTCTCCTTCCATGCAAAATGAATAAGCAGGTGCACTGCTCTAAGCTCTGCTCACTGGCTTTATCTTCACCAGTGTCCTTCAGGGATTTCTCAGAAAGAGGCTGTGCTGCTCCACCTGTCCACTTTTGGGTGGTACCTGCTATTTCACAGAACCATCTTAAACTAGGTCGGAATCTTCTTCCTCAGTCAAGTGACCACAGGGAAATTACCCATGAGGTTAGAGGTACAGGCTGGGATAAAATAATATAGCAAGAATGATGACTATGGCATTTGGGCCACTTCCTCACATAACTTACTTGTACTTCAGTGCCTGCTAAAGCCTGAGCACTTCCATTTGATGATGGAGTGCTGCAGTGCATTCCCAACTGTATGGCTTTGTGGGTCAGACAAGACCCAGTTCATGATGAGCAGCTCACATTGCTTGGTACCTTAGTGGCCCGTGGTTAAGCGTTCACTCTCTACTGAGGCCTGAGTGGCAAAACAGCTTACACATCAGCATGGACCTGTTGCAGAGTCTTCTTTTGTTCTGGGCCTGTTCACAGCTAGCAGCTATTCAGGTCACTTGGTAAATAGGCCAGAGTAGCTGTGGTAGTCATGTTTGTGTGTTAACTTGGCTGGGCCTGGTTGAGTGGCTGGGCAGCTGGTGGTAGTTATTCCCCATGATGAGACTGGCAATCAACTCCATGGTGGGATCTACCACGAGCAGCTGAGTAGCTGCCTTTGAGATGTGGTCTGCTTCCTATAGATAAGGAGAAGCCTTGGGAATGGTCTCTAGCCTATGGCACGCTTGGACCCTGCATGTAGCCATGTCGTTGCTCAGCAGCCTGCTATGCTCTGCCAACCTTGGGACTTACAATGGACTTAAATTAATGGCCTGCCATGTGGTTTGGTAACATTGGGACTGTGCCTTTTTACTTGTCAACCTTAGGGCTTCTCGGCCTCAGCAGCCAGCAGCTGTCTCACAAGAGAATATGGTACCGAGAGAGTAGGGTGCTGCTCTGACAGATACCTAAAATGTGGAAACAGAAGTGGAGCGCATCCTTCACCCAAGACCCTGGCAGAGAGACCCTGGCATATAGCATGACAGACGGCAGGAGCAGAGCAAGAGACTGGCACAAGAGACGGCAGAAGCAGAGCCGAGAACCGGCATGAGACAGCAACAGCCTTTCCAGCCCACAGAGGAGAAAGCTTGATGCCTTTGGTTAGGCAGCTTACTGGTGGAGTGGGTTGCCTTGGGGCATTAATTGGTGAAGAGACCAGCATAAAATGGAATAGCAGGTTGGCTGGCCCACGGAGCAAGAAAGCTGAGCACTTTTGGGGCAGGAAGATCTCCTGCCCTGGGTTGCCCTCGGACATTAATCGGCAGAAGCGGAGACCAAGGAAATCGAAATAGAGCTGCCTCAGCCTGAAAGGGTAGGACCATGGCCTTTGGGGGTGGAACCACCACAGCCCCCAGGTTTCAAAGAGCCAGGCCTTCACCAACTTGGTTCTGGAGCGTGGGGCTGATCATGCATGTGAGCTAAAGGGAAGGAGCCACAGCTGCTGCCCAAGAGTGAGGGGGCGGGGCTGCCGTGCCCAAGAAAGAGAGAAACGCCCC